GAGGCAACAGAACACAGTATTTAGATTTCAGGTGTTAGAACTGAAATCTCACTCCTGTCATTTATATGTACCATAATGGGCAAAACACAGGTATCCAAGCTTTAGTAAACACCTCTGTAAAATGAAAATGACAATCACCGAGCACAGCTCATAGGATTGCTATGAAGTGAAGTGATTTGTACAGAATAGCTGGCGTGCTCTCCAGGACACCATAAGGGTAAGCATTTGGTTTTCCAATGGCATTTCCTAGTATATCTGGTTTACATCTGCAGACTGAACATATAATAGAGATTAACTACAGTTTTCATTCACTCCTTTTCTTGGCTATTCCCTCCAATGAAAGGATCTCTTTTTCTCTTTCTTTCTTTCTTTCTTTGTTTCTTTCTTTCTTTGTTTCTTTCTTTCTTTCTTTCTTTCTTTCCTTCCTTCCTTTCTCTCTCTCTCTCTCTCTCTCTCTCTCTCTCTCTCTCTCTCTCTCTCTCACTCCCCCCCCCCCCGAAAACAAACTCAAGACCTTGCACTTGCCAGGCAGGTACTGTGCCACTGTGGTATATCCCTGGCCCTTTTTTTTTCTTTTTATTTATCTTAAATCCCAGCAAAATTTTGACGTCTAAGTTTGCCAAAATTTCTAAAGAATGCCTTTTACTCAGGACCATCTGATACTTACATTCTTTTAGATACTAAAATATGGAAGTTAAATCTGTGGAACCAGATTCTGTGGGAATCTGTGGGACAAACATTATCTAACTGCTTGAAACTAAACTTACTAAAGGATGTGGGGAAGAAAGGAATCTAACAAGTAACTTTAGAGAAGTGTTTAACTACATAATATAAGGCTAAAAACAAAAAGACTTGTAGATAAAATTGTTTTGCCCCAATTGTTGTATTTCACAGCAGTACTTGTTTTCAAATGTAAAATCACTGTACATGTACACATTTTGAAAACAATTAAAGGCAATAAATTCACTCACTGCCAAACACTGAAGTTACATCTAAGCAAAGCTTAATGCTGTGACAAACTTTGGTGACAGATAAGAGGCAAAAATGCTATCTTTAACTCAAGTGTATTTTACCAGGTATATAGCTGTGTGTGAATAAAATATCTATTTCTAAATAATTTTTTAAAAGTACAGAATCTGGAGCCAAATGGCATAGGTTTGATTCCTGTCTCTTCAATTCATTATCTATCATGAACCTGGTCAAGTTTATAGTCTCTTGACTTAGTTTCACCAATTATGAAATGCAGATACCAGATTGAATATATCGTATCCACTGGACATTATTTGAAAACTGAATGGGAACAATATTGGACACAAATGCCATATTAGCATACATAACCATATTATTTTTCATGTTTATCATTATGGTACATACATTTATATTCCTAAGAAAATGATAAAAACTATCTGAAAATTTTGGGTTTCATTTAAATTTTCTTTTGTACTGTCCAAGATGTTAAGATGCAGTTTACTACAACAGTCTAGGAATCTGCCAAATATTTGGTGACCAAGAGCCCATATATAGTCTTTAGCATGGTAATGGGAAAAATCAATTTTTGTCTTCCTACCAATTTTCAAGAATTTTTCTAAATGAATTTTATACATTATAACATTGAATTCTCAGTACTTTCCAATGAGATTAGTGTCCTCATTTAACCATGAGAATTTGATTGTTACTTGACCAAGATGAGGCAAAATTATTGCAATAGTTAGGAAATCTTTGTTGAAAAACGAATTTTTAAACTTCTGCATGAATCGGAATTAGTCAAAGATATCATTAAAACACAGATTATTGGGAAGCACAGCCAATATTCTGGTTCAACGGGTGTGGATGCTGTAGAAAGTTATGTATTTCTCGCAGTTGTCTAGGTTAATCTGATGGTGCTCTTCCGAGGACAGACTTTTAAAAATGACCTCAGTAGATTATTTTCGTTCCTCTATGCTAAACAGCTTAAGGGGGGACTTGGAAAAGACATTTATAAAGTTGACAGATTCTATTTTGTAACACATGGAAGGATACAAGGTTTCCTGAATAGAGGGAGCATACAGTTAGGAAATAATGCAGAAATTGAGATTTAGAAAAGAAACAGTGTTTGGGAAAGGATAATGACTTGCTTCATTATTAATGAGTAGTAAATTACATAGATATATGACTTGGTATAAAAATTCCCCAATTTCTTAACATGTTGACAAATGCTTAACCATTAGCAAATCCAGTAAACCAACCCATCTGGCAAGAGAGGTTTGCAGCGGCCTCAGACAACATTGAGGCTGGGAACCTGCTCTGCAGAACCTCTCAGCTCCTTCCACAGTTGGATTAAGTCAGGTATAGGAATATTAAAGCATACTGCCAAATCTTCTGAAGTCATCAGAGTCGACATGGTCATCCACAGCAAGGAAATCAAAAGGCAGCAAGCTCAACTTTTGTGCTCAAGGTGTCACCACAGTAGGTTTTTTCCCCCAATTATTCATTTCTCCCTATCTGTAATTTGTTAATGAATTCTGAACTTGCGGTACTTAAACAAATTGAGAAGACTTTCTGGCAACACAAACGGGATCCCGAAAATGCTTTTCTTACCTGAATTTTGGTGAAAGTTTGCCTTTATGCTTAGTAATGTTAGTGTTGCAAACTCATCTTGCTGAATCGCTGTCTTGGTTATTCTATTCTTGGCTTTTTGGCCTTGAGGTACCCATGACCCGACATGGTACAAATGTCAAATGAATAATAAAATCAGACTAAACCATTTCTCTTTATGCCCTTGGACATAAAAAGAGAGGAAAATAAAAGCCGGAATTGTCACTAATGCTAAAAAACTCTCATATGACCATGCATAAATTTAGTATTCTGGGATGTAATTCAGTTAAACCTGAGCTAATGAGTACCTATCTGTAGATGTATGAGAAAAAACATCTAAAGCAAGGAGGGAAAAACCAGTACAAAGGAAAAGTCAGAATGATTAAGGGACTTAAACAGGTAATTATTACTCCCTAGTCAAAGTTGAAATGATGTGTATATGAGACATCTGAGAGAATATTCTTGAAGCTGTCACTGTAGTTCAGTAGTTACATTAATATAGTATAAAGCCATCTTTGGGATCACCCTAAACAGAACTCAGGACCAAGCTTTGAAAATATCTCATGAGTTTTAAGTAACTTAGCTGTTGCATACTAAACAGAAAGTAGGTACTAAAAGAATACAACCAAATTAAATATCAACAAAATATGAAATTACTGATGTCCATGATATAATGAAAATTGAGTAAGCATACAAAAAGCAGAGAAATATAATCTCAATAAACAATCTCCTAAAATAGACCCAGAAATCATAGCAAATGGAAATAAGATTGTCAGATGTCAAAAAAATTTTCTATACTTTGAAAAACATTTAAAGAAAACAAGAGCATAATTAAGATATATAATAAATGTTAAAAGAATAAAATTTATAGAGATGAAAACATCTGAAGTTTAAATTAAAAATTACCTTCGATGGGATTAACACCAGAGTACCTAGTAAGAAAATATCAGATAAGTTGACACATAGCAATAGAAATTATTCTGAATAAAAAACAGAAAGAAAAACTAAGAAAATTTAAATAATAAAACAATGACTTCTGAGACCTTATCTAATTGTCTAATATTGTTGAAATACAATGACAAAACAGTCAAAAAGTATTAAAAAAATCTTTCAAAAATCTGTGGCTAAAAGTATTCAAAATTTTATGTAAACTATTAATCTACAAAACCAGAAGTATGGTAAAATCTAAGCAAAAAAAAAAAAAAAACTACAAAACCCCACATAGTAATCAAGTTAGAAAATCATAAAACTATTTAGAGACAGAAGAACAAAGACAGGAGCGGCATCGGGTTTTTCACTGGAAATGATGAGATGGATACAGAGACATTCCAAAGTATTGGTAAAGAGCTGAATATAAAGGGGACTGAGTAACTTTTTACAGTTATAAAAATGTTCAATGACTTTATTATAGAGGCTTAAAAATATTCTTCTAAGTAAATAATAAAATTTATTATATGCAAGTAATAAAATAGACAATTGTACAAAAATGCTACTCAGTATTGTAGAAATGTTATTAAACAAATCAGCATAATGTATTTAACCATCATCTCAAATATTTATCATATTTATGTGCTATAACATTTAATATCCTCTCATCCAGTAATTTTAAAAGTATACAATAATTGGTAACTATGGTCTCCCTAAAAAACTTTTCTTTTTCAAACAAGAAAATGTTTTTTTTTTAATTTTACAGCATATGTTTCTTGGTTTATATCTAGGTACTTCAATATTCCAAAGAAAAACATGAATTTGCATATTCTTATAACACATGCTTTTTAACAAACATCAGCTTTACTATTTCAGAAAAGTTTAAGGTGAAAGATATGCTAATTACACTATTTGGTCATCATCTAGTGTACATATGAGTTAAAACACATTATATCTGCAAATACTTAAGATCTACAATATGTAAGATATAGCACTCAAAACATTAAAATCTAAAACAAAGCAGAAGCAAATTATCATCAGAAAAGAAAAAAGTTATCAAGATATATGACATCAACACCTTGCCAAGAGTAATTCTAACATATGCCTTTCCTATATATGAAAAACACAAGTTAGTATTCTAAGCTTGTCAGTTATCAATGAGTTGAGTAACAATATTTTTCTTGGGAGGGTACCAGGAATTGCACTGAGGATCTCATACTTGCCACGCAGGTGCTGCACCACTGAATTAAATCTCCAGCCCCTCAAAACACAATTATATTTTTATATTAGTATTAGTTGTTTCATGCATAATAAAATTATATTAGGAAGAAGGTAGTTTTAAAACTATGAATATTTTTACAAAATTTTTAAAAAGATAATTTTAAGTTACTTTTTGTTTAACTTTCCACAAATATTTCTCTTTATAGAACAGTGTTCATTAAATTTATTTTGTGTAGCAATAGTAAAGGATGTCCACAGAATCTAAAATATTTCTTTACCTCCAATTCATTTCTTGAAGAAGTGGGTTTCCAAAGAGAGACAGCTCACGTAAAGAATAGCATCCATTGAAGCATTTCATAGCATGTTTAAGATCTACATAGAAAATAAAACACTATGAAAAGCATCATAAGAAAATATAAAAGGATCTTTTTCCTTAAAAGTTAATTGTTAAAGAAAAGCATTAGTTTTGTATCTTCTGCAAAATAGTACATGATTTTTAAAGGAGAATGAATTTGGTTAAGAACATAGACTGCTGTAGAATATTATTACTATTTAGCATCTGTCAACTTAGGCAAATCTTCCTTAAAATTCACATTCATAAATAAGTACTAAATAAGATAATATATGTGAAACATTTATAATATTTTTTGCCATCGCCTAAGCAAAAACTTTTAAGATGTGGAAATGTAAACTAAAGCATATGTCTTCTGGAACTTAGGGTGGAGTGTCAACTTGATTGTTTTTGGGATTCACTAGGATTCTAGAGCACATAATGTATATCTGGAGATCCTATTAGTAGGGCCTCAAGGTCTATATTTGACCCTCATCCTTTTTTTTCCTGGCACTGTTCTGTTCCACAGTCACCAAGAACTAAGGATCTTTGCTCAAGCATACACTTCTGCCATCATGCTTCTCCCTTGGAGTTAGGCAACCATGGACTGAATCCTCAGGAACTGTTAGCCAAATTAAAGTCCTTTTAAATTGTAGGTGCCAGATAGCATGTGTCTATGATGGAAAACTAATTAACATAGGTGATATAATTGAAATATAGCTAAACAGAATTATACAGACCAACTATACTTTCCAATGAAAAATAATGCATAAATCTACAGTACATTACAAGGTACTGCATATTGAATTGCTTTTGAATAGAGTACAAGCACAATCCCAGAAAAAGTACATTTCACTTCTCTTCAAGTCTAACTTTAAAACTGAAGCTGAAATTTGTGGAGTAAAAGTTATGAGAAGATAAATGTTTTCACATTAGGGATATAAGGGTGAGGTCTTGGGCCACATCCTTGGGAAAGTACTAGGTGTCACATAGACTATACACCACTGAAAAACCCAGCAAAGAACACATGCGGCAGGACTAAGAACTAACTTGGACAATAACGTTCATGCATCAGTGAAAGACATTAGCGTTGTAGAACAGGCAGTATAAGACCGAATGGAATACCTCGGAAATCACTTGAAATGTAGAAAGATTACGCATCAGATGTTAAGGCCAAGCAGTGGAGAAGAACAAAAACTAAGCATTGAAGACTAGAGTGGCCTATCCAAAGAAAGCATGGAGCCAGGCTGACATAATCAAAATTATTCACCACTAACTTAACTACCTGTCAGAATAAAACTTAACATCATTTAAGAGAAAATTTATCTATATTCACTAAAATGTATTATCGACAATATTCCATGTATAGTTAAAACATACTAGAAGTACGAAGAAACAAGAAAGATGAAACCATTGGGAGTAGAAAAACAATTCATAAAATACATCCCAAAGTAACTCAAATATAAAGCAAATCTTTCATAAAGCTGCCAAAGTAATTCAATAATGAAAAATTCATTCAGGAAATGTTAATGGAACAAAGAGATGTGCTGAACCTCTAGTGTTCTTTTATTTTCTCTTTTTTTCAACCTCTAATTTTCAACATGAATAAATGGATTAGATGGATTAGAAAACTAATGGTAATTACCAAAGTACAAAACTTCCTGAAGAAAGTACATAAAAGTTTCTTCTTGAAGTGAAGAAATATTTGTCATAAATGATGAATGTAATATTGAAACAAATTTCACTAAAACTTTTAAAAATGTACTTTAAAAATACTGTTCATAAAATTTGCATGTAAAATAATGTAGGAGAAAATATAACAAAGTGTATTATCTGATAAAGAATATCATCCAGGATAAAAGAACTTCTAAAAATCAAAAAGAAAAGGTAAATAAAGTTTTAAAATTATAAGGCATTATAATATATATGTCAAGGGACATAAAATCACTAATAAATATTTATTAAAAATATCTTTATTCATTAAAGAGATACAAACTAAAGCCACCGTATGATAATTCAATGATATGAAAAATTCTAGGATAGAATAATTGGAACTCACATATTACTGGTGAATATGTAAAATAATACAACTGTTTCAGACAAAGTTTGCCAGTTTTTCTCAAGGTTACACCTATACTTATCCTATTATCAGGTAATAACACTAAACATTTACCTAAGAGTACTGTAAAGATAAGTCTTCAAAAAGATTTGTGTAAGGATTTTCTTAGGTACTCTATATCATAGTATCACTTAGCATTAAACATTCAAATATCAATTACTAGGAATAGGTAAATGTATAAACAAATTGTGATACTGTTACACAGTGGATTATAAACAGCAGAAAAAAAGAACAACATCCTAAGTTAACAATATGGTACAATACCACATGAATACTGAGTCAAGAAAGTAGGAAGCTAAAATATATGATCTGATCTCATTAGTATAAAGATAAAATTAACTTATTTTGATAAATTCAGACGGGGTTCAGACTGTAGTCATTTCTATAAGCTAAATAGGAAACTTTTTTTAAGGGGATTAGTTAATTCAATTAATGATTCTTTAATAAACTTCATGCCATTTATATTTGCTGGGAATCAAAAAACTGTAAATTTTTCTTACTAATTTTTCATAGGAAAAATATGTACCTTAAAATATTAATTTGATGTTTGCTTAGGCCTACCACAGAGATAAAAGGTAACATTATTTTAAAAGCTAAAACGTAATTTCAAATATTATTTCAGTGTGATTTCTTGTATAGGTTGAATACTCATAAATACTATTAATACATGTGTTCAAAACAGTACCTTATAGTATCTGGAATAGAAACTCACAAGTCTATTATTTTTAAATAATTAAATATTATTTTAAACTTACCAGAAAGACAATTGTTGCTGACATCTAGTTTTTCCAAAGAAATAAAATGAAAAAGTGGTATAATTTTTGTCAAGCTGAAAACAAAACATAAAATTTACAAATGATTTACATATTATGAATTTTTGTTTTAATTTTTAAATCTGTTTTAATCTTTGTTTAATTTTGTTATAATTTACATATTATGAATATTTTTGATGTGACTACATAACAAATATTTATATAACAGTTGTATAAGTACTTATTAAAATGGCATTATCATAGAATTAATCGTAATCCTATTATGGAACATTTCTGCTCATTTTTATAAAGAAATTGCTGTGTAACATTTATATAATAAGAGATTTTAACTCATGTTAAACAGAAATTGCCATGGGATTAACTTTCAGCCACAAACATCATGGGCTGGGGCTGGGGATTTAGCTCAGTGACATAAGCACCTGCCTTGTAAGCAGGCAGTCGTGAGTTCGATCCCTGGTATCGGTAAAAACGAACAAGAGAAAAAAAAAAAAAAAAAAAACATCATGGGCTGTGATGTTTCTATTAAACTTCAAGTAAGTGCTTTTTGATTATTACTTTTTTCTTTCTTTGTATAAAGCCAAAGCTACACAGTGTATATTATCTATGATTTTTTTTCCTTTGGCTCCAACTCATAACCTGAAACTTTAAGGTAAAAACACAAAAAATAATTTTTCAGTAGGATAACTGTGACAATAAATTTGATTTTTGATTTAAAAAATGCTTTGCTTACTAGAGTCAAAGTATTATAAGCATTATGTATCCAATGATATACTAATTCTAAAATGAACATATGCATAATGTATAAACAGCAAGTCCAAGGAGCACAATGTCATAAAATGTCTTACATTAATATCATCCATTTAAATTTGGCAGAAATATACTAATATTCAAAGTTAACACTCTTTTAGTTATACATACTAAAATTGTAATGAATGGTCTTTCCTCTTTTTGAAGTTTTTATCACTGAGCTACAATTTTCATTACGAATTATATTCAAACAAGAAGCATAAATGTTATTGAAAATATGCATGTGAAAATATGCAGGCAGAAAAATTACAAAGGGAAAATAATCTTTCACTTGATTTGCATCTCCAACTAAGACACTTTGCAATGGAATGCTGCATTGCTAAAGCTATTGGAAATTAAAATTAAACCAGTTGGTCTAAGTGTTTAAGACAAAAATCTCCTTTTCACAAGACACAGTCTCATCAACATTGTAAGTCTTGTACACTAAACTCCCTTGTAAATGCTGCAACTCCATAACTGTTCAGAGCATGATTCAGTTGAAGGAACATCTCTGGAACAAAAGAGAAAACAAAGCAAAAGAGGTGCTCATTAATTTACACTTCTAATGCCTTCCTGCTCTTCCTCCTTGTCCTCTTGCTCTTCTCTTTCCTCTCTCCCTGTCTCTGTCTGTCTTCTCATCTCTCTTCTCTCTTCCCTTCTTCCTCTATCACTCCAGTTATCCTGGCAGTTCTTTACCTCTTTGTTCCCATGAATTCCCTGCAATTTTTAAAAAATTTTAAAAGTTTTTTTCCTATATTCTAAGGTCAGAAGCCACAAAATACAACACTGTGACTGCAAACCTCACAGGCTCTCAAGTCTCTTGGGGTCTGGCTCAAAATCAACCCTCCAGGTGACCTTGAATCTTCTCTTATACTATCCTGTTCTGCATTAGTAGAGAGAAAGAAGATACTTTCGATAAAAAAGTAGACTAAATAATGAGGCTAGAAGGAAATTTCTCTAAATGGTGTCAATCCTAAATACTACAACATCGCTACTCATATTAAACCTGTATAATACTACCTTCAACAATTTCAATAGGGTAAGATTCCAAATAAAAGAGAAAGTGAGGAAAATGTTGGCCATCACATTTATGAATACACTTCATTATTTGTGTATTCCAGAATAGTAAAAGTTACTTTCGTGTCCATGGAGATGGGAGGAAGAAAGGAACACATGGGTTAAGAGAGGTGAGAGAAGGATGGGAGGGAACCAAGCAGGAAATTAAAATGTGGACACGTAGTTGTCAGGTTAAATGTTTATTTCACTATATTCCTTGTCTACTTTAAATTATTCATGCGAAAGTATACATATGCTTTTATGCAAGAAAAATCTTATTTGTTATAACTTTAATATATTTCTAATACCAAATCTTTGCCCATCTACTGAAAAAAGAATATGACAGACTAACAGCTAATGGCACACTAAATCATCTGTATACACTATTGTTTTTCCTCTTTCTCTCACAGTCTCTCGTTTTTTAATTAGTAAGTTACATGGTAAAATTTTCAGACAGAAAATGAAATTAACTAATAAGGTTTAAGGATTTTTAAAAATTCCCTTTGCAAAAATTAACCTGAAAATTTCTGCTATAATCAAACATTTTTTGTGATAAAGTGAAATTTTATCTTTTTATGTAACTATGCTTTCTTTAAGAAGTTACTTTTTCTTAGAAACTAACGGGCTATATTCACCTTTATGACTATTCATTATAGGAAGGTAGAAACCTAATCGTAGAATTGGTTTTTTTCAACCTTTAAAACTTTTCCTTTCTACTGACATTCTGTGTATATTTTTTCCAAGAAAATTTAAACCAGAAAGATAAAGGACATTAGTGAAAACCTAATACCATTTGACCTTGTCACATTAGCCTTGGGCATTAAAAAGATATAAATTTCAAAGACGACAAAAAGCAAAAGATTTGTACAATGAGCAGCCAATGGGTAATAGTTTCCATTACTGCTCCTACTTAGAGTCTCACTGGAAATAGAAAAGCTTATGAAGCCAGAGAGTCTTCTAGTTAGAATTTGGCTGAGTCAAACTTAAAACAGTGACATGTCCTAATGAAAATCTAAAACAGAAGTCAGGATGAAACAAGCATTTCAAACAATATGTACTAAATATCATTCTTTACATGTATTCCATTTGTTGGGAGGAAAAGCATATGGATATATAATTTCTTCCTTGTGATGAAAACATTTATCAAAAATTAAAAGAAAAATATATACAATTTAAAAACCATGCTAACCACAAATACACACACACACACACACACACACACACACACACACGCACACATACACATCTTTCACATTTCTATATATACGTATGTATGTATAAAACTCTTCTTGGGTTTTAAAAATGTATCCACATATATTTTCCTCTCAGACTATCATTAAAAACAGGGTAGTAAGCATTACTACACATTCTACATGCTTGTATGTGTCTGGGGGGACAGTCATGTTCAGAAAGGGAGAAATAAATGCTTCGGCATCAGTTGACTGGTTAGACATAGATTTCAAAATTGAAACTCAGATCTGCTGATACTGAGTTTTATCAAACCTTATATAGTTCTGAAACAAGTGAAACACATATAAAATCATGATGTGAGCTGACATCTTTCCACAATTAATGATATTCATTGTTTGTAACAAAGTCATAAAGTGGAAAATTATATTTACAATGAAGAACTAGGAAATGTTTTTAATCTACCCATTCTACCAATTACATTCCTATGCTAAAGGTTCAGGTCTCTTCTCTTCATCTCAGAAATATGCAATGAATTTTGATAAATTCAGAAAGATCATCTTCAAAATTAGAGACATGAAAAATTTTAAAATTGCATATAATATGTCATAAAACATTTTGCAGTGACAAGCTTAACAATTAAGTACTATGTAGTGAAGAGTTCTTAGAATAAGAAATATACTATTTATTTTTATAGCACTGACAATAGCAAACACTATGTCAATATTCTAATAGTTAGGCAAACAGAAGCTGTAAATAGGGCTCATTTGGTTGAATTATCCAATCTACCATTATTAATCATAAAACAATGGTTTACATAAATAACTAGCTTTATATCATATGTATATGTATAATTTATAAAAGAATAAAAGATATCACCTTGAAGTAATTGTAGTTTTTAGCAATAGAATACTTCTTTGAAGACTTAAATCATCCAAAGAAATTAAAGGCCTTATTTTAAAAAAAAGTTTATCATTCAGAAAAATTCTAATCTCAATTTTTCTGTGGCCTGGTAAAAATTAATGTGGCTTGATCCTTACTTCTATGAAATACACTAGAAATACTAATCCTGATTTACTGCATGTGTCCAAACATAGCTCAGTACATCATTCTGAAATGGTATTGCCTATTTGAAGAGCACTATGAAACACTGGAAGGATTGTGGATTGTCCAAAATCCTCACACAGTGTTACCTAATAGAATTGACTGTGAAGCCCAACAGGTATCGCTTTAAAGTTAAATAAGCTTTTGTATTTTAGAGTTGACCAAAACAGTTTGAGGGGATTTCTGAAGATAAATTCAGTATTCAATTGTCAAACTCTAACAGGTGGAGGTTAAATCATTTAGTATGTACATGCTTAAATGATGAGTACTATTATGGCAGGGATTGAGAGTTTTATATGTATTTTTGGAAAACTGTATATTAACTTTGTTCTCCATATTCACTTGCTTTGTAGCACTAGATAGCTCAAAAAGTAATTTTTTGTTAAAATGTGATTTCTTTACCCTGTGTGTGCTTTTGATGAGCAAATTAACCATATTACAATGAATAGGTCTCAGTGCAACAGTAAGCACAAGGAGAAGCACACATACCATACTCCTGCTGTGGTTTTAGACAGTGATTCTCTATAAAGTCCCAGATGTTTGGTGTTCTCAAATGCATCTTCTGAGTCAGGTACCCATTTCAATTTAATGTTAAAGCATTCTTAAGTGTTATTTTATATCCTTAGGGAAATCAAATTTCAATTCATCTTAACAGTTGCAAAAAGACATGCAAGCTGAGACCAGATTAAAAATAATTCTTTCAGGACTTAATAAGTACCACTTGAGAGAATGAGACATTCTTCTGAATTAAATTAGCTACCTCCTGTATTTTCCACAGACCAGTCTTTTTACAAATATAAACAAACTTGCCCTTTGAGATTTCTACAAATGTATCTTTAAGAAGAAACAATATAAAGACATATTAAAGATTTACTAAAATAATATGAAAATCAGTCATTTTCAATTTTGAATTTCTATGAAGCATCTTTATAATTTAGGTACTGATTTTATTTTTTAAATGCTCTTTCACTGAATTACTGGAGACATTCAATTTTCCTATTTATTTATGAACAGCACACATTTATTTGAAGTAGTAATTGTTTGCATTTATTTTTAATAAAGTATGTATACCTGTTTTGAGAGAGAGTAAGATTTTGCAATAAAGGCAGCCAATATGAAGAAAATTCTTCCATAGTTGAAATACTATTGTCATCCAAATGCAATTCTCTTAGCAGAACATGATTTCCCAAGGATGGAGGCTAAATTTCAATATAGTTCATTAGTTTATATTTTATCAGTTAACTAAATTTAAAGCTATACAACCTGCAAAACTTAAAATAGATACATTCTGCTAAACAGTAAATTTTTAGAGTACAATATTGTGATAATTTTAGTATGAATAAAAATTCCAATAATTAGCTTCATAATTTTAGTAGTCTTTATACAATATATTACTTAATAAATACAATTATAATTTCTTGATAAATTTAGTCCTAATCATACACCTTAATAAACCTAAAATGTTATGATTTATTGTATCTTAGTATTATGATAAACTAACCTTAAATTCAATTGATAAAATATTATAACTACTGAATATTTTTAGAAATAGAAAAGTATAAAAGAGTAAAAAATAAATTGAATATCAAATGCTGCTTATTGGTAAAAAGAGTTTTTCAAATTGCCTTTTAATGTGTGGTTGATATTTCTATCAAAAATGTTATATTCATCCAGACAAATAATATTACTTAGATAATTTCCCTGTAACTTTAATACTTGAAGTAATCAGCAATTCTCAAAGCTCTTGTCATTAGTAAGAGACAAATTAATTGAAGACAATTACCTTACTTAGATAATTTCCCTGTAACTTCAATACTTGAAGCAATCCGCAATTTTCAATACCCTTGACATCAGTGAGATTATTATATGAGCAATCCAAGTATATAACAGTAGGTGTATCACGAAGGCCTTCGGTACTAATTAATTGATTGTGGTCCACAATTAGTTGCTGAAGATTTTTCAAAGATTCTAAACCACCTAAAAGAAAACTTTCTTTCAGATTATTATACATACTTCCCAAAATGTGTTATTATATAATTATGGTCTGAGGGTTATATCTTTCAATATTGTAGGTATATGTCAACTTAAAATTGAACAAAATACTTAAAGGAAAACTTAAATATATTGAAAGTTGAGTGTTTTATTTTTAAAAATAATAGGAGAAGGAGTGATAATCTGAGAAAATTTTCTATTAACTTTCTTGGAGAGAAAATGTATCTATGATACCTTTCAAGGATCACCCAAGGTTGGAAGAAAAAAAATCCAAGAATGAACATCAGGTTACACAGTGAGGAAAAGTGAAGATTTTGATCAAGGAAGCTTAAAGGAAATGTTGAACAAAACAAAAACACAGTTGGGAAAGGAAAATGGGTATGATAAATGATGCTGTGAATGAGGGGTTACTAAGAACAAAAATAAAATGATATAAACTTTCCATGGAAAAGAGGTACTTTATTTACAATAAACTACACAGTCAACAGGTGCAACCAAGAAGAGCTGGCAAAAGAATATGACCAGCTGAGCGCTTTGGCGATGATGAAGCAGCTCAAGACCTCACTGGAGGAATGGAAGGCGTTATCAGGATGAAAGCTACACAGAGGTAGAAGGGCAAAAATTAGGTAGACTGCTGTTTAGATTTTGTTAATGGAAAGGAGTTTCCCAAAATCCTTAAAATGACTTACAAAACTGTGATTTCTCTCTTGGTGTCTCTCCAAGCTTGTCCTCTACCCCTGTTCTCTTTTGTCAGTTCTAACACAATGATCTCTAGCTGTCCCTGAAATAGGCCATATCTGAGGGCTGTCATACATACGTGCACACACAATCACAGTGTGACATGTCAGTTTCTGAGATAATATCAAACACTAAAATACTGCCTTATTATCCGTGATTTATATAGAAAAAATACAACGTTTCATTCATCAATCTGGTAGAATAACCACAATTTCCAAACCTCAGATTACTGAAGAATGTTTGACCTAGCATTCTACTTCTGCAAGTTTCAGTCCATCATATAGTTTTAAACAAATATGCATCATTATATAGAGATATTCTTTGGATTGTTATTTAAATGGAAAGAAGTTGAGAAAAGTTAAATTTTCATCAATAAGGAAGGAATTAGATTATGAGGTATTTCCATATTGATTTTCAGAAAGCTGAAAAACCAATCTGGATCTTATTTTTAAAATATTGAACATATTGTAATGTGAATGGAGATGCATTTATAAAAGGAAATTTTGACAATATAATTTAAAAGTCAGTTGAACTACAAAATTAAAGAAAATCATCTAAAACACAATGCAGTACTGAGGTCCAGCCACAACCATATGAGCGAGCTCAGAAGTCAATCATTTGGCTTCCTTGAGCCAGAGGAAGATGGCTTTCCTGAACGCCCTACAAGTTCCCAAGAGATTCTGGGCCAGAACTACTCAGTCAACCCACTCCCTGGGTTTATTTCTGACCCATACAAAATGTGATATAATACACATCTACTGTTCGGAATTGTTATGCTTTCCATAACACAATATATATATATATATATATATATATATATATATATATATATCACTATGGAGTAATGACCACAAAATGCCAAGTAAAAGTGCAATCTACAGACAGTATATACACAGTTCTTATCTAAATACGAATGCAATTGAGACACACAGTAGGATGCTAAATAAGTCAAGAAAATTAAACTTTGAAAAATAAGATTTATAAAAGAGCAAATGAACTACATAATCCATACAAGCAAGAACTCTCTGACACAAACACAATGATTTTCCAAATATTTTCAATCTCTAGTTCATTGAATCTACACATATGGGACTTATAGAGATGATGGAAGATGAACTGTATACTTATATTTTGAATTCTGACTGAAAACCTCACACCACCAAAAAGAGGCACAATGAATTTAAAAAGATTAAGTCCTAAGAGAACCACAGACATTAATATCAGATTAAACTAACAGAAACAACAAAGAAAGAAAATTTTTAAAGAAAAATAGAAAACGACCTTTCAAGATCAGCAGACTGATTGATGTTTATTAACCAAAGCAAAACCTACAAAAATGAAATACATTCACAATATAGAAATTGTACTCCAAATGTAAACTCAATACTATACATATACTTTATTCTAAACACAAATACTAACACATTATACTCTACACTATACATTATATACTAACACACATGAATATGGTGTGGGTTTACATGTGTATATTAAAAACATTAAACCAAAAAATTTTTCATGGGCAGTTTTCTTCAAAATAAACATTAATACATATTTTTAGGCAAAAGGGACAATATAGATGTAAAGAGCAATAAAAAGGGTATAATTTATTGCTACATAATAACACTTCATGTGCATTATGGTCACCAAGTGAAGTGTTTTCCCAAAACCTTGGTCATTCAGGCACTCAGAGACCTCTGTAACCATGACCCTGGGGCTAGGCTACTGCTTCAGTTGCTGCAAGATCTTGGCATCATCTATTTGGTTCTAAATTTACAGGCATACAGAATGCAAGAGTCGTGAGTTGATGGAGGCTTCCACTAGATTTCAAAGAGTGTCTGAGAAGGTCAAGCAATGAGTCTGGGAGAGGGTGGCAGCTAAAGCAGTGAAAGTGAAGCTAGAAGTAGAGACCCGAGGAAGGTATGACAACATGCGATCTATGTGGTAAAGAGAGCCACAAGCCTAAGCAAGAGTTAGCCTGAGGTAGAGCCCAGGAAGTATGCGGCTAACAAATCCATGGGTAGGGCTGTGCGAGCCCTGTGCAAATCATACCTTGTCAGAATCTACCCTGGGTGTCGGACATGCAGCTACATGGTTTAATCTTTGTCCTACTTTCAGTTTTTATTTGATAGAGTTCTTTTCTACTTCAATACTCTTCTTTTTTGAAGTAAGAATGTTTACTTTTGTGCCATAGTGTGTTACAAATATTTAACTTTGTTTTTGAATTTTACACAGGTTCACAACTAAGAGAGTGACTCAAGACTTGGAGATGACCTTGAACTTCAACTTGTAAATTTTACAAGAACTTTTAAACCTTTGGTTACGTTTAGACTGACTCTCATTTTGCATAATGAGATGTATATGAGTCTTTTGTGTGGTAGCCATGGAATGTTATTGTTTAGATATAGAATGTCTCCCAAAAGTCTTAGGTGGGGATTTTGTAAGATTATTGGATTACCCCATCTACGAGTCAACTGCTGAATATACTGACCAGAATAACGACCTGGTTGAGGTGGTCACTGAGGGTGTAACATGGAGGGTCATATTCTTGTCTCTGGATCCTCCTCCATCTTGCTATTTCTTGGGTGCCATGAGTCAAGATTTCCTCAGCCATGCTCCTATGCGGTTTGTGGTTTTATCCAGCTAATTATGCATGTACTGAACATTGAAACCATGAGTCAAACCAAACCTCTCTTCCTTTAAGTTGTGGGTGACAGGTATCTATCTCATCCTAGAGATGGAACTTGACTAATAAAATAGCCAACTGGCCTGCAGGTTTTATGCCGTCCTTAGAAAGGCATGAATAACAGTTTTTACAAAAAAGAATCTTAAAATTCATATGTAACTATGAAGGACCCTGAACAACCAAAGAACTATTGAACTATAACACTAAAGATAGAGAAATTATTTCTTGGATAAGATCTCTAAGGGACAGGCAATACAAAGCCAAAATAAAGCAGTAGGATTATATCTAAGTAAGACATCTCTGCTCATAAAGGAAAAAAATTAAGAGATGATGTACAGAGAGGAAGAAAATATTTACAAACTCTTCATGTGATAAGGTTTTAATTTCTTTGAAAAATAAGAAACTTAAATAGTCAACAACAATAAAACAATCTCACTAAAAATAGGCATGTGGTCTTTGGCTGTATCTCGCTAGTACAAGGCTTGCCTATAATGTATGACATTCTGGATTTGATCCTCAGCAGCATAGAAACAATACCTAACAATAAATAGGCAAAATGATCTGAGTATGCATTTCTCAAGGAAGATATGTAGGTAGTCTATATGTACATGAAAAGTATGCTCAATATCACTAACTATCAGAGAGAATGAAATTGAAATCATGAAGATATAATCTTACCCCTATCAAAATTATCGTGAAAAAAGCAAAAAAAAATTGCAAGTGCATAAAAAAGAGAACTCTCATATAATGGTTTGAGGAATGTAATCTGTTATAGCCAATATGTAGAATAGTACAGAAATTCATAAAAAAACCCAAACAATGAAATGAAATATATAATGTAAAGGTTTCATTCCACAATCATCTGGCTCCAAGGCAAAGTTGAATAACAGGCTGTTATTTCAGTGGAGAAACAGTTTGTGGTAGATAGAAAGGAACAAAGCATCAAGGATGACCAGAGCTTTATCTATGCCTTATATGCTATACAGGTTAAAGCAGATAGTGCTCTCACCCTTAAATCTAGTGCCCTTTTTCTTAACATCACACCACGATTCAATCCCAGCATAACATATTCTAGATTCAGTCATGCTGACAAAGCCCAATCTATGACAGCATGAGACTCTGGGGGAACATTCAGATGCAAGCCGTAACCTTACATCCCTGGCCTCCTAAAGACTAATGAACATTCCTTTATGTAAAAGGCCCATCTGTAAGAGTTTACAAAGTCCTAACAGTTTCAGATTACTGAAAAGTTCAAGCCCAAAAATATCTCAGATTTGAGGCAAATCTTAGCTGCAAACCCCTATACAAATGAAAAGAAAGTTAAATATTTCTAGCATTCAATGGAACAAAATACACATTTCCAATCCAAAAATTTCAAACAAGGGGCTACCAAAGAGTGAGACCAAAGCAAGTCCAAAATGCAATAAGGAAAAAATTAATTCCCACAATTCCACGTAAAGTATCCCCTGAAATCTGGCATGTTTAAACTGCAAAGGGCTTGGGTGACTCTGCCAGTACAGTTCTACTGGTAGTTGTAGCTCCCATGGCTTCTCTCTGTGGG